GGCCCAAAGCTAGTTCAGGAGAGCAAATGAGCAAAAAGGAGGAAAAGGAGTACAGTCAGGTCACAGAGCTTCCCCAGGAGCTCCCTCAAATAAATAAATAAATCTTTAAAAAAAAAGTATGTACTTAAAGTTTATAGGAACCACAGGGGACAGATGAACATGTTAAATAATACCACAAAATTGCCATCGGCCATATTCGGAATGAGGGAAACAAACAACACAGCTTCTTCAACAAATAGAGAAAAAAAAAGAGAGTAGGAGGACCAATAGATTAGAAGAGATTTATCAGTCAAATATAACGTGTGGGACCTCCGGGTTCCTGATTCAAAGAAACCAATTATTTAAAAAATGATGTGATGGGGTGCCTGGGTGGCTCAGATGGTTAAGTGTCTGCCTTTGGCTCAGGTCATGATCTCCAGGTCCTGGGATCGAGCCCCATGTCCAGCTCCCAGCTCAGCAGGGAGTCTGATTCTCCCTCTGTCTCTGCCTTTCCCCCTGCTTGTGCTTTCTCTGTCTCTGTCTCTCTCTCTCTCAAATGAATAAATAAAATCTTAAAAAAAAATGATATGACAATCATGGAAATGTGAATAGTGCAATGGACTGGATGTTTGTGCCCCCCCCAAAGTCATATGTTGACTCTTAACCTCCAGTGTGAGGTTAAGTGATGGTATTCGGTGGTGGGGCCTTTGGAAGGTACCCTCATGAATGGGATTAGTGCCCTTATAAAAGAGAGCCCAGAAAGATCTTTCCACTCTTCTGCCATGTGATGCTATAGCTAGAAGGCCAGAAAGCTGGCTTTCATCACAGTTTGCCAGCACCTTGATCTTAAACTTCCAGCTTCCAGAACCATGAAAAGTAAATTTCTGTTATTCATATGCTACCCCATCTACGGTGTTCTGTTATAGCAGCCCGAACAGACTAAGACAAATTGTGACTGGTTTGATGATATTAAGAAATAATTATTTTAGGTGTGTTAATGGTATTGTGGTTATATTAAAACAAATCAAAAAACCCTCTGATACCATGTGAGAAAGAAGGCACTTCACCTCTGTGATATTCTTCCCCCAAAACGCATAACCCCAGTCTAACCATGAGAGACACTAGACAAACCCAAATTGAGAGATATCCTACAAAATACCTGACCAGTACCCCTCAAAACTGTCAAGGTCATCAAAAACAAGGAAAGTCTGAGAAGTTGTCACAGACCAGAGGAGGCTAAGGAGACATGACAACTAAATATAACGTGGGATCATGGATGGGATCCTGGAACAGAAAAAGAACATTAGTATAAAAAATAGTGAAATCCAATAAAGTCTGGATGTATAGTTAATAGTAATGTTCCAACACTGGTTTCTTAGTTTTGACAACTGTACCAGGGTCATATGAAATGATACTGTTCGGGGAAACAGGATGAGGGTTATATAGGAATTCTGTTATCTTTTTGTCTTCTGTAAGTCTAAAATTATTCTGAAGTAAAAAAATTTATTTTAAAAAAGTCCTTATTTTCTAGAGATACCTACTAGCAGGTACAACAAAATGATGGGCTGTCTGGGCATTGCTTTAAAATAATTATTTTGTTGGAGGCACCTGGGTGGCTCAGTCAGTTAAGCATCTGCTTTGGGCTCAGGTTATGATCTCAGGTTCCTGGGATGGAGATCTGCATGGGGCAACCTGCTCAGGGCTCCCTGCTCGGCGGGGAATCTGCTTCTCCCTCTCCCTCTGCCCTCCCCACCCCCCCCCCCGCTTATGCTCTCTCTCTCTCAAATAAATAAAATCTTAAAAAGATAAATAAAATAATTCATTGGTTGGGATTGGGGGCATACAGATGAAATGAAGCTGGTCTCACAGTGGCAAATGTTGATACTCGGCTGGATCTTTCTTTGAAAACTGTCTCCACTTCTGAATGTCTGAAAACCTTAATAAAACAAACAAGAACCCTGGAGCCATACTGACTAGGAAGTGAGTTAATCTGTCTGTGTGCTACAGGTTCCTCATCTATCATATATGGGATAATTGTATCTGCCTCACAGAGTTGTTGTGAAAATTCAGTAAGTCAATATGCCAAAGGCTGGAACAATGCTTGGCTATTATCATCATCGTATGGAAAGAAAGATGGTCACAGACCAAAGCCCAGCAAGGCAAGTCATCTTTCTCCACCCTCTGACACTCCTCAATGTCCTTTCTCCCCCAGCCTTCCTGCACAGAGATCCATGAAGGATGGAAGGAAGAAGGGCTCTAGGGCAACACTAGGGAGTAAGGAAAGACCTCTGCTCCCAGTCTTGCAGAAAGTGATGAGATGTTGGGGACTGAGGGTGGTGCCCCTGGCGTGGGTTCTGGGAATTGGACCCTGGATTATGAGACACTCAGGGTTCAAGTGGCTGAAGGCAGCTAGCATGGTGGAAAGGAGGGTTGGGGGAGGGAGTCTGATTTCAGGAAGTAGAGGTCAGCAGGGCTGGGCTATGTGCGCCTTTGGGGCCCCTCCAAAAGTGAGGTCCTTATCTCAGAAGCAGGGTAAGCCACTGGAGAGTGTTCAAGTGTGTGGTGGGGGTGGGGAGAGGAGGGAGTCACCTGATCAGACCTGCATTGTTGAGAAAGCCAAGTGGAAGAAGGAAGCATTGGAAGGGGGCCAGAGTGGAAGCAGGGAGACCTGTTAGGCTTCCACAGTGGCTCGGGACATAGATCATGGGGGCTTGGTCTAGGATTCCAGCAGGGGAGACCAGTGGATTTGAGAGCTGCTGTGAGAGATGAGAACACTGGGCCTCTGGTTGTATTTGGAGGGTGAGGGAGAGAAAGAGAAGTCTGCAGGGGACTTGCAGGTTTCTTGGGAGTCAACTGGGTGGCAGTTGGGCTGCCTGCACAGCAGGGAGTGGTGTGGGAGGAGCAGGAGGTGGGGGCAGGGAGCAGAGAGAAGTTCCTTAACAGGGACAATCACCTCCACTGTGCTTTATGCAAGTCACTATGCCGGAGAAGGGAAGCTTCCAAAGCAAACAAACACTTTCACCGCCCTCAAGAGCAGTGCCAGAAAGAATACCAGCAATGGCTGAGTGGAGGAATCTCAAATGTGCGTTTATGGCTCCGGCAGTGATCACAGCAAAGGCCTCAGTCATTAAAGCCACTGAGAAGTCCTCAGTAAATGTGTGTGTGACTGAATGTCCCAGCACAGGTACCAGAAAAAAGGACAACCCACAAACCTTTATTCAGCACATTACCATGTGTCTAGCCCCACCTCGGGGTAAGATGGAGACAAGGAAGGGCAAGATCAGCCCCTTCTCTCAAAAGATGCACACAAGGGTTGAGAAGAACAAGTAACGACACAGAAGTGTTAGAGGAAAATAGGACAGACGGTCACTAAAGGCTGACCTAAAAGGATCCCCTTTGGGGTGGCCAAAGAGGGGCTTAGGAGGGAATCGGTGACCTGGTCTAACCAGGGTAATATCACACGGGAAGAAGGGAGTTCGGGGGAGGGGGGTGGTGCCTGATCCTTGAAGAGTGAGTTGAATGTGTGTGGAGGGCTGGGAAAGGGGGACAGCCAATGAAGGGTCACTCGAGTCCAGGGAGAGGCACCCCTAACAGTCTCACCCTAGATGGCACCCTCCACTGGCAGGAAGATGCCAGTCTTGCCTCAGACATCTACATGCTGAGATGGTTTATTTTTTTAAAGGAATTAAAAGTCCTGTTTTAAAACAGTGAGGACATTCTCTCAGAAGGCTCAGGGGGGCAGTTCCTTAATTATCAGCGAAGCTCGGTGCACCACTTTCCTGGAACCAGTCCCTCTCCCACACAAGCACCACCACCAAGAAAACAAAAACACAAAACACAAAAAACCACCGCACCGACCTTTGTACAATTTCCTTTCTTCCTGCAAACTTCTTTCTGTCCGCCTCTGCTGCCCCCCACCCAAGGCAAGCCCGGTTCGCTTCAGCGGAGCCTCTCGGCCCTTTTCCTAATAAAGTCCACCTCCTCCGCGCTGGAGGCAGTGGAGGACCGAGGGTACCAGGCGGCCCGAAGCGTGGGAACGGCCCCTCCAAGCCTTCAGCCCTCGCCGCACGTCCGGGCTGTGGGTTCGATCCCCGTCTCCGCGGCCAAGGGCGAGTTAGCGACGCCCTGTCGGGGGTCCCCGAGTAAAAGGGCCACTGTCACCGTGCTCCGAAGAGACCGACCGGGTCGGACAGAGCCGAGCGCTCGGTCGCGCCAGGGCCCATGTGCCAGAGACCCGTCTCGGAGGTCGCACCGGGGGAGGGGGCTGAGGCGGGCTCCCGGGGACGCGGACTCTCTCTACAGCCCGCGGCCCCAGGGGATGACACAGCGTTTCCTCCGCACCCCGGCTCTCCCCGCACGTCCTCGTTCCATCCCCGGCAAGGCACCAGCCGGCGACTCGCTGCGTCAGCGAATCCCCCGCTGGAAGGGACAGGGGTCGCCGGGCTGCGAGAACCCCTCGACTCGTGGCCCTAAAACCCTCGCGCACTGCGGACCCGGCTTGGGGGTCGAGGGCTGGGAGCATGACCGCGGGGTGCGGACGCTGCCCGGGAGCCCCGCCAGCAGCTGGCAAGGAATGTCAGTCCCCACCCAGGGAAAGTTAGAAGGCATCTCCGCCACGCCAACTTGTCATCCAGAGCCGAAGTCGAACTTTCCGCCGGGAGTGGCTGGCTGCACAGCCCAAAGCGACCCTGCAGAAGCCGCTCGGACCCGGGCACCCCAGATCCCCGGCCGCGACCGACCGTGACCAATCATCAAGCGCCTCAGGCGGGAAAGGCTGGAGGGCGCGGGCAGCCGAGGAGTGACGGCACCGGCGGCCAATAGGGAGCCAAGGTGGGAGTCCACGCCCATCCTGCTCACCAATGGGAGAGGGTTGGCTGGGGCCGCGGTCCCCGAGGCAATAGCTGCAAGGCTCCCCGGTGGCCGCGGGTCGGAGACCCTAGGACTAAAGGGGATTTTGGAGAAGAGTTTGCTCGCCCACCCTGTGCTACCCGCCGACCCTCAGACCATAGCCCGGTCCTCACCTGCTGGAAGCGGGGTTTACCCAGCTGGAAAGGAGGTGCATCGGTCGAGGTGCTAGCGGCACTAGCCGCCGCCGCCGATGCTGTAGTCGCTGTATCCGCCATGGCCACTGACGCCTGCAATCTCCGGCCCTTTTAAAATGTCCCTCCTCGGCCCCCGCCACAGCTGCTTCTCCCGATTGGCCATAAGCAACCGCAGCGAGCCCGAGGCGCAAGGGGTTGTGGGGAGCGTAGTTTTTCTCGTCACGGCGCTTGACAACCCTAGACTGCGGAGAGTTGCACCGACTCAGACCCGGTCTCGGTTCCTGCCGCCAGCTCTGCAAGGCTCGGCAGTGTGGGAAGAGTGTGCGTGTACGACTCTAAGGTCCCAACAGTGGGCCATCGGGATACCCCTCGCCGGTTACCCTGGAAGTTTGAGTTGCTGCGGAGGGCATCGCTCCTGGGGCTCTAGCCCAGAAGAGCCCTACTCAAGCGGGCCTGACCTGGGACTAGATGGGCAAGGACTCCAGGAGGGATAGGGTTAATCCCGGAAAGCTTTCTGCAAGGACTGGCACTGCGGAATCTTCATGCAGTTTCTTCTGTCGCTACCCTGCCCCTCCCCTTGTGCTCTCCAGCCCTCCTGACACTCGGTTCCAAGAGCACCCTGGGCGCTCCTCGCCCCTGACCCTTGAACATTCCATACCCAGAAAACTCCATAACTTTTTATCTTTACCTGACTCTGGATCTCCTGACCTCAGCCTACACATTGCATTTCCCGATCCATCACCCTACTTCCACAAAATCCACTTATGCTCCTATAGTACCCAGCACCTTTTTTGCAGCCCGCGCGTACTTACAGTTATTTTGGTTTTGCATGTGTTTCCTACTGTAAGGTCCACGGGACAAGAGGTGTTTTACTGCTAAGTCCTCAGTGCCAGGCTTGGCAGGGCTCGCAACAAGGACTCAGATATTTGCTGACTGTGTGAGTTAAACAGTGGGAGCTTCAGAGCCTCGGTGGGTTCCCCTTCCTCTGTCCAACTAAGGAAGATCCCTCCCCAGCCTAATTCCCCAGCAGGAAGAGAACTGGGAGTGGGGTTCAGTCGTGTTTATTAAGCACTACAAGGACTTTAGGTGAGAGAGAGGAGCGTATATCATAGAACAAGACACCAGCAAGGATAATAAACACACTTGTGCAGTACAGAGTAGAAGGTTCCAAGCTGAATTATCTGGTCAGTGAGCCAGGCTCGGGGGAGCGGAGGGAAGCTGCCTGTTTCACCCAAAAGGACAGGACAAATAATTCTGACCTTAGGGAGCCCCACTTTAGGTCTCCTTCATCTCACGGTGAGATGCAGTGTTGGCTCACGCCTGCTCATGTCCTTCTGGACAATGCATGATCTATAGCCGTCAGTTCCTCATCCATCAACAAGAACCACAAGAAACAGACTATTCCTAAAGCCAGAGAGGAGGTGCTAACTAGCCATGAAGGATCATTTGTATCCTGGATTTGTATCTTTCCCAACTAGACTAAGCGGTTTCAGAATAACAATCAGGTCTTTTACCCTCTGTATTCTCCCACAGTACTCAATGAATGTGGGTCTATTGGCAAAGAAAAGACTGAGTCCAGGCCACTGGGCAATGCTGTGCTGCTGCCCCTGGTGTTAGGACAGAGGCAGTGACATCCCAAAACCCCATCACCTGCCTTCTCCCTGCTGGAAGCCTCCTTTCATACATTTATCAAGACAGGAACACCATAGAGCCACCTGCAGTATGTGAACTTTTTATTCTTCATAAAGTGCTCAAAACATGAAGAACAAGCTCTTTATAAACAGGAGTAACAACTAGGAAGACAAACAGCAAAGCAGAACTGTGCCTGCTCTCTGCCCATCCCACCTGCAACTCTCCAAGTTGTGGCCAGGAGCAGAAACATCCAACGAGAACCCTGGGCTTCAACTCAAAACTCTTCTGAAGACATCCTTGCCCTGGGCATTTTGGAGGCCCCCAGTCAAGAACGAGCAGAAGATCAGGTAATAAGTAGAGCCCAGAAGAATATGTAGTAGAAGAGTGCTCCCCTTCCCCCAGAAGAGATACCTACCCAACCCCCAATGACCCCCAAAAACCATGACCCAAGACCTGGATACCTGTGGACACTCCTCAGCTTTGATGAGTGATCCTTAGGGTAGATAACATTACAGGGGCTTTCCCCTCATGTGTGGGGCTCCTCTGCTTCATCCTGGCAGAAGACATCACCCATAGAGCACATCTCCTTCCAAGGCTTTTGGAGAGATCCCATAGGCCCCCTCAGGAAGAAGACGAGGTCCCAGAGGAGCTCTCACCTCCTTGCTGGGCCAAAAGTATCCTCCTTCAGCACCTCACCCCAAAACCTTTGCTAAAGCAGGGTACCCCAAGTCACTAAAGGTTCCCTGCAGATGCCATGGGAAGCCTGCCATGTTTTCTGCAAGCAAACCAGGGGCTGGGCCAAAGGACAGACACTTCATTTCAAAGTGCACTGCAGCCAAGCCAGGCAAGGCCATGGGGCCGAAGGGACAGGCTGGGAGAGCAGCTAGTAGATGACAGGAGGGCAACAAAGGCTTTTTCCTAAGTATAGGCAGAACGGGACCTCCTACTTCCCGAATGTAGTTGTTATCCCAGGAAGCCTCTCAGTTGGGGTTGAGGAGGAGGAGAACGTGGCAGGAAAGTTAAAGGAGCAGTGGCAGCTTCACCAGACCCTTAACTGAAATTAACTCTAGGGGAGGGGTACAGGAGCACAGCAAGGCTGACCCATCCTCCTTTCCCATTTCCAGGGCCTGACAGATCAGGCCCCATGTGCTCAACAGGGAGGGAGGGGGACACCAAACAGAGGGAGAGGTCTACATCCAGAGGCTCTTGACCCCACCCACAAAAGGCACATTTTAATTGGTTTCCAAAAGTTCAAACCCCACAGCAGCACAGAGTTTTGGCATCTGGACAGGCAACAAAAACAAAGACGGAGGCTTGATCCCCAAACATAAGCAGCCCAAAGCCCTGAGGCCTGTGGAGGGGCCCACAGCTTGGAGGTGAGCAAAGAGGTGCTCTCCTCACCCTTGCCCCAGCTCTCCACACATTCACACGTGACGCTCAATGGGAAGATCAGAGGAGGAGGGCACAGGGCGGCGGGGGGAGAGAACACACATCTCCCTCCATCCACATGGCTCTCGCTTTGCAAACTGCTGGAAACACACAAAATCGGGACACAGCACAGAGAAGACCAAACCATACAGGCTCCTTGCTCTCAAGGGAACAGACATGAGGCGCAGTTACCCATAACTGCAGACCAGGCAGCTTGGTTCTTGCCACAGCCCCAGGGATGCTAGGAGCCCTCTAGGGGCTGGAGACAGATGAGGGGGACAAGGCTTTAGCCTTGGATGAAATGACTGACAGTTGTTGTGGGGTAATAAAGTATGTCCCAGATACCACATCAAATTGCAGCTCACCCTTGCTCTGACTTGAGGGCTGAGTTCTTTGTTCCAATTCTCTGGAGCCCCCAAAACTAAGGGATACGAAAACAGGCAGGTGGGAAAGACCCAGGGAGGGCTCCCAAAGACACACAAGTTGTACATGGAACCTGATGCCTCCAATGGGAGTCCCAAGGGCCCCCCTTCCAGCAAGCCCCATGGAGGCAGGAGGGAGGGGGAGCAGGGAGTGACAACAGAGGACAGACAGCAGCCTGCCCAGCTGAGAGTGAGTACAGCGGGAAGGAGGGCAGCGCAGGCCCAGTTTGGGCAGTGGGCTCACGCCCACCCTCCCGGGGGCAGGGGTGAGGAGGCTACTTGGAGGGGTCCGGGGGGATCTGCAGCAGTGTGGGCGAGGTCTCCATGATCCGCACCAGCAGCCGGTCAATGTAGCTCTCCAGCTCCCGCACGTGCTCATCCCGCTGGCTCAGCTCCCGCTCCCGCTGCAAGAGCAGGCTGATGAGCTCGTCGTGGGTCAGGTGGTAGTACTTGGCCGACTGGTCCAGCACCCCTGAGTCCTGAGGCCAGGAATGAGAGTGAGCAGGGCGGTCTCAGGCCTACCTGCCCACCCGCCCACCAACACCCGGATTTCACCCCTACAGGCTCCTGGAGCGGCCTCCGTCTCCAATGCAAGAGACCGCCTAACCGGCTTCAGGGCCCTGGCGTGGGGGCACCGGGCCTGCTCTTTGCTCCACCCTGCCCAGCACCCCGCTCCTGACCTCGGGGCGCCTGACCTCTCTCCACAGCACCACACGTCTGGCATCCTGTCGGGCCTCACCTTCAGCCTCTTGGTGTCCAGAGTCTGGCCAACTTGGGGGGCTGGAGCCACAGGCTGCACGCTGCCCGACGTGACAGTCTTGAGCTTCTCCAGCCCACTGCTCAGAGCTGTGCTCAGACTGGAGCGGGACTGCTTCCTGTCTGGGCTGCCCTCCACAGGGGCAGCATTAAGTGGCTTCACAGGGTGGGGACTGTGGAGACAGAAAGGAGATGCGTTATGGTGGGGGGGGGCAGCGCCATGAAAACATGGGGCCACCCTGTCTGCCGGACCAGCAGCTCTGCTGGCCAGGAACCAGCACTTGGTGGTGGCTGCCCCTGCACAGCCAAGGCCTTGGGGTAGCTGCAACCAGCGCTCCTCAGCAAGCCTTTCCTCCTCCTCCCTCACTGCTCTCCTCACTCCTCACCCCACCGCCTGCCCCCTCTCCATTTTACTCCCTCAGAAGGCCTGCCCCTTCACAGGAACAGCAGAGGCCGGCCCACAACCTTCTCTGCACCTACAGCCAGTCGTTACCAGGGCCACCCCCTCCTTCTTCCCTCCCTCTTCCACACTGTAACCTTTCTCTGGGGGACTGACTGACCCTCCCAGTGTCCCCATTTTCCCAGGACTGGGGACTCCCAGGCTGTGGGGCTTTCAGTGCTAAAACCAGGAAAGACCTGGGCAAACTGGGACACTTTGCTGCCCACCTCTCTAACTGGTTGCTCCCCATCAGCATTTACACCAGCCTGAGAAACCCACCCAGCCATCCGCCCTCCGTCATGCTCCAGCTCCCCTTCCTCCTCCCCCAGCCCCACCAGAGCATGCAGATTGCATTCTGTCCCTAGAAGTTCTTACCTTTCATTGATTCCTCAACCCATCAGAACGGGGACGTTGGCCCTGTCAGCCCATCACAAGTGCTCCTGCTGAGTCCTCCAACCCCTCAGCCCTCAACTCACTGACCTCTCTGTGGAGCTGACTCTTGGACCTCTCCTTCCTTTGGCCTGCTCTCCCTCATCCCCTGCCCCCAAGACCTCCCTCTGGTTTTCTGACCTCTGGCAGTCTCTTCTCAGTCTTAACTGCTAGCCTGCCCTTGGATCCCTCCCTTCCCCGCCTGGGCTCCCCCCACCCCTAATGTCCATCTCCAGCCTGGACCTCAGCCCTGAGCTCTAGGCCCACACAGACTTGGGAGGCTGGCTCGCTCCACTCCGGGTCCAGCTTGGGCGCATCACACTCACCTCCACACCTATCCTCTCCTGCGCCCTTCCAGCAGTGTATGGCTCCAGCCAGACCCCTGGGAATCCCTCTGATTCCTGTGCCTCAGCTCCAGGGCTAACAAACATCAAACCCTGTTGCCTCTCACCTTCTCTCCCACCGTCCCCTTCTCTCCAAGCCAGTGCTAGCTAAACTGCCTTCAGCTATACCTGCTAACTCACCTCCTCGGAGGGACTCTTGCCCACCTCCATCCACCCCTCTGTTCTGCTATGGGATGGTGATCTCAGCCTCTCCAATATTTAAGCTCTTTACTGGCTCCCTATCAGGTAAGAAAACACAGTCTCTAACAGAATTGGGCCCTACCCTTTCTTCCTGGGCCTCTACTCCACACACTGCAGCAAACCAGGAAAAGTGCTCTTTCTCACCTTCAGGCTCTCACAAAAGCTGTCCCTCTGCAGAACACACTGGCCCTTCACCTGCTAGCCTGCTAACTCCTACTCATGTTTCAAAGCCGTGCAAGGCCACTTCCTCTAGGATAAATTTCCCTGATTCCCCTGAGCTGACTACAGTGACCCCGCTCTGGGATCCCTCAGCACCCTGGACCTGTGACAGCTATGCAAACTGCAAGCATCGGGCCCCCGAATCAATTAGCCTTTCCCCAAGGGACCTCTTAAAAATCTATGCTTACTTCACAAAGGATTTGGACCATTCAGAAGTAAGGAGCAAAATGGTTTAGCCCAAGGCCTGAACTCCATCGGAGGAGGGCTAGCCCAGACCCAGAGAAGCCAGCTCTGTTACTCAGGACAGGGCCATGGATTCAGTCCCACACCCTGGAAAGACTGGCAGAGAGCCCAGGCAGGGGGACAGGCAACAGGGAAAACAACTTATTTCCTCCCACCTAGGAGTTTGCATTAGGGATGGGAGCTTGAAACCTGCCCTGATGCTACCCACGGACTGTGCCTGGGGAGGGGAGGAATAGCTGGGTGGCATAAAGGAACCCTGAACGGGGCCTGGGCTCTCAATCTGAGTGCCCCCATACATCGGAGGGACTCTGGACCCCAGAGCTCTCAAGACCCCCATTTCCTCCTCTGAGAAATGGGGATAGCTCTATTTGACCCATCTACTTCAAGATGTAAGGGACATGCTGAATTCAGACATGAAGCCAACTCTGAAGGGAATAAAGCTTCCCAAAGGTAGTGAGTATAATCGGAAGTGAGGCCGGAATGCAGCAGGGCCAGCTAAGGACGCTGTCCTCACAGCAAGGAAGCTGTAACCACCTCCTCTCCCTCCCCTCTGGGAACAGCTTCACCCCCCCCACCCCCCCACTGGCACAGCAGCCTCGGGTAGCCTGACTCCTTCCCTCCCACTTCTCATGTATCAGCACGGGCGCCCTGGGCCAGCTCCTCATGGGTGCACTTCTGTCTTCCTCACTGAACTGTCCAGGCATACCTACCGCGGGGACAATGTCCTTCCTCTCTATGCGGCGCCTGACACACAGTGGATGCGCAGTGAATTTGGATGACTACATGGATGAGCTGGTGGGTGGAGGCTCCAATCCAGGATCCTTACCCTGCCCTGCTCAGCAGAAAAAGCCCCCTCTGCTCCCCCCACTTCTTCACTCGGGGCTCCTAGGGTACTGCGTCCTTCTGGACTTCGCTGCCCCCATCAACCCCAAGTGACCTGTGTCTCCTGACCTCAGCTCTGGTCAGCCCTCACCAGTCAACCCGGTGAGGTCACAGCCTCATCATTCTTCCCAAACAGACCAATGCCACGCTGACCATAATCACAGAGGCATCCAGCACCCAGCACAGTCCTAAGCACCTCGGGACCACTCCCTGAAAAGGCGCAGACGCAAACCAATGAGGCGCCAGATGGGGCTACAGACCCTTTTTTCTGGGGGCCGGGGCAAAGTTGTTTCATTTTTCTTTTTGTCCTCTAAACAGCTCTTGGGCTTTCTCTCCCACTGACCTCAGTACTGGTCCCTCCTCTGGCTCTCTGCCTTCCACAGCCCACTCCCCTGTGGCCCCCACACTGCCCCCGGCACCCAACGCCCCTTGCAGCTGAGTGCCTGAGCTCTCCTGCCCCCTCCCCTGCCAACCTACACCGGCTCTGTCCACTCCATTCCTCACTCCCTTCACCTCAAACCCCTGGTTTGTGGGGCACTCTGCTTGTCCAAGGGCCCAAAGAGGACACAGTTTCAGGGCCGGTACCACAGAAGGGCTCCTTTCTTCAAAGCCTCCCCTCTCCTGCCTCAGGGGGAAGGAGCCCTTCATCTGCCCCTGGAACGGCTGAGGCTGGAATGTGAACACCTCAGCCCCTGGGCTGCTTTGCCCCCCTCCTCCCACCTCCTCCTGCAGAGTATTCTCAGGGTGACAGCTCACCTGGCACTGGACTGTGGCTCCTCAGCTGGTCGTGTCTCCAAGGGCAGAAGCACAAGCGGGGAGGCTGGGGTGGTTGCAGCGTGGTCCTCCCCAGGTGGGGCAGGGGAGCCCCCAGGGGAGGCAGCTGGCTCCCCAGGGGTTGGGGAGGAAGAAATCAGGGGCTGAGCTCCAGGCAGAGAACATGGAGGGCTGGGGCCCCCATGGCGGTGGCTGGCCCAGGGCGGGAGAGGGGGTGGTGGAAAGGCAGGCTCTGGGGGAGTGGGCAACTCTTCTGGACCAGAGAGGATGGAAGATTCCCTGGACCCTGGAGGGGATGTGGACGGGAGACTGGGGGGGTCCTGGCTCCCCTGAGACAAGAAGGGGTTCAGGGCATCCTCCTCTGAGGCCCAGAGGTCAGTGTGTTGGGAGCCATCGGGCAGGGGCCCAAGCCCCTCTCCTACTGGTCCCCGGCTCTGGGCCTCAGGACCCTCAGGGCTTTCTCCTTTCTCCGGAGCCCCCCAGATCTGATGACTCTGAGGAGCCAAGCTCTTTGAGTAACAGGTTATGGGCGTAGGACCCTCAGGGCAGCTGGTGGGCAGGGATAAGGAGGGCCCAGATACAGGAGGGCTGGCACCCTCCACTACATCTTCCAGGCCTGGCCCACCCAGCAGGGTTCCGGAAGAATGGCTGTCAGACTCTGACCCAGGTGTCTCGCCCTCCTCCTCGGCCTCCTGTGGCCCAGCAAGCAGCGAACTTGGCAGGTTGTCTTCTCCTCCTGTCTCTGCCCCCCTGCTTCTCAGCCCCCCTGCAGCCGCCGCCATAGCTACTGCCTCCTCCTCTTTCTCCTGGGAATCTGAGGGCGTGAAGAGGCGTGGTGGCTTGGGAGGTGGCCCGCTGGGCTGTGGTCCCTGGTCTGACACCTGCTCAGGTTTGGGCTCTGGCTTGGGCTCCGGGTCCAGGCGGGGAGGCTCCTCACTCCCCCCGGGGCTCACAGGTTCTGGTGACTCTGGCTGCATCTGGGGAGGAGGCAGCTCATCAGACTCTCCCCGCAGGACTGGTGAGGACGTCTCAGCTGCAGGAGAAATGGTGACCACATCCCAAGGCCATGAGTCGTCGACTGTATTGAGCTCGTGCAAAAGCTGGCCTTTGCCTTGGGAGGCCGCCTCCTGGCCCTCAGGGGTGTCGTCTGGGCCAGGCAGCCTTTCCCACACACTGATCACTTCAGGGGAGCTAAACAGAGACGTCGCGCTGTCTGCCGGACTCTGCCCTGCTTCCCCTCCTGGGGCTGGCGACCCCCTGTCTGCTTCAGAGTCTGAGGCTCTCAGGTGCAGCTGGGCGGACGTAGAGGGCAGGCCGGCCCCTACCGACCCCAGGGGCCCCGGGTCAGCCACACTGGTGCTCTGGCGGTCCAGTCCCAAGTCCAAAGGAACCCTGGGCTCCAGCCACATGCCGCTCCCGCCTCTTCCTCCTCCCCCAGGGGCCCCCCGGGGCTCAGCTGCCTTCACTGTCATGGCCCCGCGGCCTTGCTCTTGCAGCCCAGTCACCTCCAGCCCCACTCCTCCTGCAGGGGCCAGGCTCTTGCTCCTGGCCTCTGGACGCAGCCTGCTGGCAGCAAAGACGTTGAAGGTGTCGTCCCACTCAG